GAAAATAGGCCAAAAAAGAATACAATGTTAGGCGAAATGTTGAAACATCGGATCTGAACAAGCCAATGCTATTCAAAAATTGTTCACCAATTACAAACTGACGGAGTTTAATTATCGTCCCAAGAATGAGTAGAAATTTTTTATTGTTTTTACTTATCTGTAAATGAAGCTTCCTCTCCATGCATGTTTTTTTCGTTGATGACAAACTTGTATTCGTACTAGACTATTCTCTCGTGATTTTAACATTTTCTTGAATTCCGTGCAAGGAAAAAACATGCAAGTTTTTGCCATTCTTCTTATTTTTATTCTATTTTCATAAACAATTATGCTATTTGTATAATATTGGATGACAATATTAATTGACAAGGTTAATGTATCAAAAAATTGTTGGTTGAAAAAATCGACAATTTTTCAAATTGTTCAATGACATTATGTCACGTGATATATTGTCAATGTACGTACACCAAACATGATTATTTGGTGAAATATTTAAGTTGAAAAGTAAGTCTAATATGGCGGTCGGTCACTAGTCAACCTGTGAAGCAAATAGCATTTTCCAATATTTAATATATGTTCCAAGTGTTTGAAAGTTAAAAACACATGTATTCAATTATGTCGTGAAAATAGAGAAAATCAGAAGAGAGAATAAAAATTAATAGATTTTTGTGTATTATAATGAGAACAAAAACTATATATCTATAGGAAATGATTAGTGATATATATGATAATAATTTCTAGGGCTGCACGGGTACAATTGTCATTCACCAATAACTTACCATTTACAACACTTATCATTGAATGACACATGAATACCAGAAAATTAAGCTTAAAAAACTCATATTATACAGGATGCCAAAAAATTGGACACATAATTTTGAAATACCGTATTTTTTATCTAATTAAACATTTCAAATTTCTTTATTTCTATAATTTCAAAATACCATAATAAAAATTGTAATCTATTAAACTAATTAAGAAATGACGCCGGGTAGAAAAGTGATTATTTTGCAGACTAATTCTACCAGTAAATTCACAGGGAATAACACAAGATTAACATCGAAAATACAGAGAAAGCGTCTTTAAAGTTTAGAGAATTTTATTATATCACGCAATAATGAAAATAACTTCGCAAGCCGGACTTTATAGCAAAAAATCGAATTTTACTAAAAATGACAAAATTTTAAAAATCATGCTAAACAAAAATATGGAATAAAATAAGTAGTCTGCGAAAAATTTAGCTCAAATCGAGTTAAAAATCTTCTCGTAATATACAATCGAAATATTACCAAAAAATAGCAAAATTTAACTAAAAATAACAATTCGAATTAAAAAATAGCGAAATTTGAGGTTGAAAACGGCACGCACTGAGCAAAGCTGGGTGGCCACAATGTGTGCGCCGAAACAAGCTTTCCGAATTGTGGCCATAATCTTGATTCTGATAACCGTAGCCAAAATTATGGCCAAATTACCGAAACANTGGCCAAATTACCGAAACACGACTTAATTGCCAAAGTTACGCGCTCACTTGCCATCCTTGCCCCGATTGGCCAACTCGTGATACCTTAGAGTCATTAACGTGTTATCTGACAACTCAGTATTAGACTCGGACCCTTCTGCATCAAGAGACTACCATAAACAAAACCTTAATTAAAAGAAAATAATCTAAAATAATCATAAATTAATAAGGATCCGTTTGATTTGTGTTTCAAATTTTCAATTTTGCGTTCGTTTTTAATTTGTTGTTTTGATGATTTGTTTCAAGATTGTAAAAAACATGTTTGGTTTGTCATTCTAAAAAACGATTTTTTAAAATAGAAAATTAGAAAACACGTTTAGTTTGGTTTGAAATTTTGATAAATTATTTTTTATGATGTTTTATTCCATTAAATTTGATTATTCGGTGAAATAAAATAATTTTATATTTATATATTGTCAAGTAATATTTATATTTTAAAGTTTGTAAATTTTAGTTGTCAAGTAATAAAAAATTTTGTTGTCTTAAAAAAAATCAATTGGTTGAAGATTAATTTTAACTGCTAATTTTATAGGATCCACAACTATTTTCAACTTTGCAACGATGACATGTTTTATCATATCCACCATGAGTAGGAGATCATTTCTACTAATATCTAACCTTCCATGGTGAATTTCAGTTTAGAAGTCTTTGCTTGCATCCCCATATTCACAAAATAAACAAAGCCCACTCCAATGCATTTGCTTCTTTACCTTTTTGAAATTACATTGCATTACTTGCACGGCATCAAGAATTTCATTGGAGAAAAAGAGAGACGACATATACGACGGACGAGTTTTTCAAAAAAGGTACATATTAGGTGCTTGTACTCTCGACTATGACTCAATTACATATTTGAAAACAAACTATATCTAAGATGTCCCAGCATGCTAGTGCTATTTAACTAATCTCCACCAAATACAAGCCTCTAGCATTTTCATCGTTTGTCATTTCAATCTAACCGAGTTAGGTATAGTGTGGACTTCTGGCAAAGAAATTAAGCATATGTAAAGTTTGGAAGCTGACAAGATTGAACAAAAAAATTCTGAAAATCTGTATTTTGTAATATATTATGTTGTTAATGTAATTTTTTCTTTATTGAAGGCTTGAAGTATATGTTGTTGTGTTCTACTTCTTATTCCGTTTTATATTTGAATGCTCTCCTAGACATTTAAGACATTAAAACGTCGTAGGAAATTATGTTTCCTCTAATTAAAAATTTATTCTCACTATCGTTATCAGGTGAAACAATATTGTTACATGTATATCAAGTTAAACAATTAATGGCACAAGTTTTAACACATTACACCGTGTCAATTTAGTGTATTGGAGCTATTCAAATGAGTTATATTTGTTACTAATTTAAGTTTCCTCCGCAGGTTCCTTAAATTTATTGCGTATGGAAAACATCTTCTTTTTCCTCTTAGTATATATTCACAGTCAACAATGAACACCGGTCCTTGATTTTCCTTGTATTATTATGTAAATTATATATTACTACCCGTTTTGACTAAAATATTAAAACGATTACCTGAAACTGGGGTAAGAGATGATAAAAAAAAGTGGAAAAATATTGAGACGGCAGTCCATACTCTATATGTAACAGTAGTCAAGAAGAATGGCTATAGAATAAAAGTATTATAGTCGCCCACGCTGCCCCCATTCATTTCAAACTACGAGTATAAATAGAAGTAGCTCTTTAGTGTTCTTCACCAGCAAGATTTTATAGTTTCAACATACATCTTTTTGCTACGTACCATAATAACTTCTTCTTCTATTACTAGAATGGCTGGAATCAGTATGGCACTAGCACCTGTCGAAAATGCTACCGACTGTGAAAAGGATATCGTTCGTCCAGTTGCAAACTTCTCTCCTAGCTTATGGGGTGAACAATTTACCAAATTTGCTTTTGATACTGAGGTACATTTTTTCTTGTTGCACTCGTAGTCGTCGATATATGCAAACCCTTTCATTTCATCAAAAAGATCCATTGAAGCCATTTATTAATCGGGACGTGAATTCAAAATTTCCTAGATTAGTATCAATTTTCAGTATTCGCTGTTTGAAAAAGATTGTTATGTTTAAAAATTTAATTTCATGCTACGGCACTCATAATATGTTGCTCTTATGAAATCGTACAGTTAGCACAAAAATATGTCCGGGAGATTGAACGGTTAAAGAATGAAGTGAGAAGCACGTTAACAGCTCCTGAGAATACCTTGGTGCAGACGATGAATTTGATTGACATACTTGAGCGCTTGGGCGTATCATATCACTTTGAAGATGAAATTGAAGAACTACTAGAACGTTTCTTTAATCTCAACTCAAATTATGAAGATGAAGCTTATGACTTGTACACTGTTGCACTTCATTTTCGTTTATTTAGGCAGCATGGCTACCGTATATCTTGTGGTATCTTTAAGAAATTCACAGAGGAGAACGGAAGTTTCAAAGAGACTATTAAGCAGGATGCAAGAGGCTTGCTAAGCTTATATGAAGCAGCATACTTAAGAGTGCAGGGAGAAGATATACTAGAAGATGCCATTGCTTTCACAACAGACAACCTCAAATCTATGGCGCCACATCTAAGCTCTACCCTTGAGAAACAAGTAGCTCATGCCCTCGTGCAATGCCTCCATTTTGGGAACCCAAGAATTGAGGCACATAATTTTATCTCCATCTACGAAGAAGATGAGTCCAAGAACGAATTGCTGTTGAGGTTTGCCAAATTAGACTATAATTCACTACAAATGTTGCATAAACAGGAGCTCTATGAAGTCTCAAGGTAATGTTCTTAAAATTGCATCGATAGCTCTGCGTTTGTGCATGTGCACTAATTGATAAAATTTGTTTCTAAATATATATTGCAGGTGGTGGAAGGAGTTGGACCTTGTTTCTAAGCTTCCTTATGCTAGAGATCGAGTCGTAGAATGTTTTTTTTGGGCTATGGGAGTGTATCATGAACCTCAATATTCAATTGCTCGAATCATGCTAACCAAAACCATTGCAATGACGTCAATAATAGATGACACATATGACGCATATGGTACAGTTGAAGAACTTGAGATTTTTACGGAGGCCATAATGAGGTACATGTTTCTTTCTTTTGATTTTGTCCAATACAAAAGTGTTTCTTAAATAATCAATTGTTTATTCAAGATTGTAATCGTGAAGATTTATTGATTTTACAGGTGGGATATTAGTGAAATTGGTCGGCTACCAGAATATATTAAACCATTCTATAGTGCTCTTCTAAATCTTTATGAGCAATTTGAGGAAGAATTATCCAAAGATGGAAGATCTTATGCAGTTCATTATGCAAAAGAAGCAGTATGCACTACTCTATATCTATTATTTTCCTCTTTATTTGCTTCTTATTATTTTAAAACTTTATTTGTTGTGTTTAACTTATAGAATTTCTACTAAATTTTGTAGTTGAAAGAACTTGTGAGAACGTACTATGTGGAAGCGAAGTGGTTCATTGAAGGATACTTGCCACCATTTTCTGAGTACATGAGCAATGCCTTAATAACATGCACTTACGTTTATCATACAACAACATCATTGTTGGGGATCAAATCTGTGACCAAGGAAGAATTTGAATGGCTAAACAATAAACCTAAAATTCTTATGGCCAGCCTCATAATATGTCGACTCATTGATGACATTGCTACCTATGAGGTATGAAATGCACTACATTTGTTACTAGGAAACTTCAATTCTATAAAGAAGCAACTTTATTTCCCTTACTAAGTGTTTTCTCTGAATATTTTCTTATTGAAGGTTGAGAAAGAAAGGGGCCAAATTGCTACTGGTATCGAATCATACATAAAGGAGAATGGTGTGACTAAAGAGGTAGCTATCGAAAAGTTTTTTGAAATGGCTACAAATGCATGGAAGGATATCAACGAAGAGTGTCTCCGACCAACTTCCTCTTCTAGAGAAATTTCAATGAGAATTCTCAATCTTGAGCGCATTATAGACGTCACTTACAAAGGCAATGAAGATGGATATACACAACCACAAAAAGTTCTAAAACCTCACATCATTGCTTTGTTCATTGATCCAATCAAAGTCTAAATATTATTTGGGATCAAGCCAGAGAAAAATGGATATCTTAAATTCTTAATTGTTTTTTCTTTTCATTAGATCCTGATGTATAAAAGCATTAAGTACGGTGTATACGATACTCAAACAATGATTGTATCACGTTTGAAATCAATTTTTAATACTCTTACTTTTCAAAGCTATTTATTCTTCAATATGTATGACGTTCACGGTCAAAATTAATACATGGAATCAATGGCTGCCTTCCCTTACCAATGGACACCAGAGACGAGATAGTTTTTAACATTAACAACATCAATAGATGGTTTTCCCTAAATTCTATAGAATACTTAATATCTGGTTCTAGGTAGAATAATCAATACTAACGTTATAGTCAAACAATCGTGTTCTAGTTCTCTAGAATACTTATTATCCTATATTAGGTAGAGGAATAATCTGCATCAATGTTGGAATTCAACATATAACAGAAACGAATGGAATCAGCTACCTAGTGTAGCACTACACTTCCTTATTTTCAGGAATGCAACTGAAGGTTATTAGCCAGCTGGTGTAATTAGTTAGTCATTGTTATTAACTCAATTCTATAACTTTCTTAGCTACCAAACACTTGTATAAATTTGTGTATCTTCTGATGATCAATCAAGCAAGAATTCTGCACTTCATTTCTTCAGTTTCTTAACTTGGTATCAGAGCCAATAATGGCCAACACCACATCCGACAATCAGTCTGAATTCAACACTGCAACAACAACTCAAGCAGCTGCTAGCCAAAATTTGTCATTTGGGATGAATATTACACAAATACCTGCAGTCAAGCTCGATAGGAACAATTTCCTACTATGGAAGAACATGGTAATGCCCATAATCAAAGGGCATAACCTTGAGGGATACCTGCTGGGGACAAAAGAGTGTCCACCAGAGTTCTTAACCACCCAAACAACCGTAGGCCAGGGAGAAGCAGTTGAGGTGACTCAAAATCCTGAGTTTATTAGATGGACTTCAGCTTATCATCTCCTTATGGGCTGGCTGTATTATTCCATGACTCCAGAGATAGCTATGAAAGTTATGGGCTGTACAAACTTGAACAAACTCTAGATAGCAGTTGAGGAAAGTTTTGGCATACTAAACAAATCATGTGTGATGTTTCTTACCAATGAATTGCAAATAACCAGAAAAGGATCCATAACAATGGATCAATATTTAACCACCATCAAACAATTGGTAGACAATTTGGAGATAGCTGGGAAAATTATTGATCAAAATGATCTGATTACACAGGTCCTATCAGGTCTAGATGAAGAGTACACACCCATTGTGGTACAGATAAATAGCAGGGAGACTATAACCTGGTATGAGCTATCCTCAGTGCTAATGAACTTTGAGAGTCGACTTGAGCACCTGAATCAGGTTAAGAACAGTTTTACATCACTCAATGTCAATTAATCAAGTGTCCAATTAGCACACCGAGCTGGTCCAAGATCTGGTAGAGGCTTTAGAGAAATTAGAAGTGGGAGATCACCTAACTACAGAAGTAGAACAAGAGGTAGAGGCAGAATTATAACCAGCAGACAAAATGAAACCAAAGGGCCATGCCAAATATGTGGGCTAGGCAATCATTCAGCAAGTTGGTGTTACAACATGTATGATGAGAGGTATATGGGGAGCAGACCAACTAACTCTGGGCAACAGAATTTCAATTCAGCACCATCAGCCTATGTAGCAACGCCTAGAATCCTTGATGATCCAGCATGGTTTGTTGATTCAAGTGCGAGTAACCATATGACATTAGACAAAGGTAACATGAATTCTGTGCAAAGATATGAAGGGAATGAAAAATTACTTATTGGTAATGGAGATAAATTATATATTGCTCATGTTAGAAATGGAAAGATCTGTACAATGAGTAATAAGCCACTTGATCTAAACAAATTATTGCATGTTCCCTCAATCAAAAGAAACTTACTTAATGTTTCGCAACTGTGTTATGACAATGGTGTATTTATGGAGTTCTATTCTAATTGTTGTGTTGTCAAGGATCTCCAAACGAAGAGGATCCTGCTGCAAGGAGTACTTAAGGATGGATTGTACCAGCTGCAGTTGCCCAACTTCAAATCATAAAGCACATTTTTCGAGTTAGACCACCAAAATAAGTATCACTGCTTCATAGCTAATTCTGGTGATGATCAGTTGCCTTCAATTAAACGAGTTTCAGAGTCTGAATTTGATCTTTGGCATAAAAGATTATGCCACGCTTCGAACTATGTTATGAGTCAAGTTCTAAAATCTTGTAATAAAGTCGTTAAAGCTAATGAAATTTCTACCTTTTGTGAATCCTGCAAGTCTGGTAAATCACATGCCCTTCCATTTAACACTTCACTTTCACATGCCTCAAATCCTTTGGAACTGGTTTACACTGATGTTTGGGGTCCAGCCCCCTTAAATTCTACCACAGGATATAGATACTACATAATCTTTGTTGATGACCATAATAGGTTTACATTGATCTACCCAATGAAACACAAGTCTGAAGCTCTAACCATCTTTATCCAGTTCAAAAATCTGATAGAAAGCAAGTTAGATAGGAAGATCAAAGTAGAACGCAAGCATAGACACTTCTGTACAAAAATGGCAAAGCAAAACGCAAGCATAGACACATCACTGAAATCGGGTTGTGCCCTCTAGCTCAGGCTCAAATGCCTTTATATTATTGGTGGGAGTCTTTTAAAGCTACTACCTACTTAATTAATAGGCTGCCTACATCTGTTCTGCACCATAGTTCACCCTACCAAACTCTATTCAACAAAACTCTTGATTATAAGCAGCTTAGAACATTTGGATGTGCTTGTTTCCCATGCCTTAGACCCTATCAGAAACACAAGTTCAACTTTCACTCCCAAAAGTGTGTTTACCTTAGCAATGGTGACTCTCACAAAGGTTATAAGTGTCTAAGCCCAACTGGTAGAATTTACATCTCTAGACATGTTGTTTTTAATGAGCTAGATTTCCTATTCAAGTTAGGTTTTCTAAATAAACAAGTTCAAACTCAAACCTATGATACTACATTGAACTATCTTCCCTTCATTGACCTCATCCTTCAAAATGCAATTGCTGCTTCTATAATACAACCTGAAGATTCTCCTGCAGCAGACCTCACGAATGGAGAAATAGGAGTTGAGGTTGGAGGAGATCTGGTGATGGAACATCGTAGTAATAAGTTGAATCAGGAACTAGTGGCAGGTAATGAAACATCAGAAGTTCAGGAGGTTGGGGTTGACACTCAGAATGCAGCAGGAGAAACAAATTTACAAGATAGAAATATGGCTCAGAACATTGGACTTCAGATGATTACTAGAAGCAATGCTGGAATCTTCAAGCCAAAAATCTATACAAAGGCAACAGTTGATGAAATGACAATAACTGAGCCAGTTAATGCAGATGAAGCATTGTCAAGCAGCTACTGGAAAGGTACTATGCAAGAAGAATATAATGCACTTATGAAACATGGATACTGGTTCCACAAGGCCAGGCTTGTTGCTAAGGGATTCCTCCAAACTCCTGGTATTGATTTTAGTGAGACATTCGGCCTTGTTGTTAAGGCTTCAACCCTGAAGATCATTCTAATATTTGCTGTGTCTAAAGAGTTGCAGATCAGACAGGTAGATATAAATAATACATTCCTCAATAGCAGTTTGAATGAGGTAGTTTACATGGACCAACCACGGGGCTTTGTTGATGAAAAACATCCTGGTTATGTATGCAAGCTAAAAAAAGCCCCTATATGGCTTAAGACAAGCCCTAAGGGCTTGGCATGATAAGCTGAAACACACCTTGTTGAAGTGGAACTTCATACAATCTAAGGCAGATAACTCCCTATTTTTTCTGGCAAAGGAAACTGACATTTTATTTGCCTTGATATATGTAGATGATATACTTATAACAAGCAACAATGATCAGCAACTACAAAAGTTCATTGACAAGTTGAACCTCACCTTTGCTCTTAAAGACATGGGGAAACTAAGCCAGTTCTTGGGAATTGAAGTTCAGAGAAATGCAGCTGGGATACACCTAAAGCAAACTAGATATGCAATGGAACTGCTAAGGAGATTTGGTTATGAGAGTTTGAAACCTAGCCTAACACCTATGGCTGCATGGAAACTAATCTCCAAGGATAAAGGACAAACAATGGAGGATCTTACCCTATACAAAAGTGTCATAGGAGGCCTCCAATATCTGATTCATACTAGGCCAGACTTAACCTACTCTGTGAATAAAGTAAGTCAGTTTCTTCAGCCACCAACTGACACCCATTGGAAGGTACTTAAGAGGGTATTTAGGTATCTAAAAGGCACCTTAAATTATGGACTATCTATACAAAAGATGGTAGTCTTCACATTACAGCCTTCACTGATTCTGGCTGGACCTCTTGCCCAAATGACAGACGTTCAATAGCTGGATATTATGTGTACATTGGAGACAATTTAGTGTCATGGTGCTCTAAGAAACAACATGTGGTTGCCAGGTCGAGCATAGAAGCCGAATACAGAGCCTTTGCTCACTGTGCTGTAGAAATAACATGGATTAAGTCTTTGTTTGAAGAGTAGAGAATTCCACGACAATCAATTCCAGTTATCTGGTGTGACAGCTTAAGTGCAAATGCCTTGGCCTCAAATCCTGTATACCATGATCGCACAAAACATATAGAATTGGATGCTCACTTTGTGAGAGATAAAGTGTTTGAGAACCAGTTGAAAATACATTACATTCCCACTTCAGACCAAACAGCTGACTTATTGACTAAACCTGTTTCACACTCAATGTTTCAACTACTTAGGGACAGGCTTGGAGTGCTAGAACACACTCCACCTTGAGAGAGGGGGAGGGGGAGGGGGAGGGGGAGGGGTTCGAATTCAGCATATAACATAAACGAATGGAATAAGCTACCTGGTGTAGCACTACACTTCCTTATTTTCAAGAATGCAACTGAAGGTTGTTAGCCAACTGGTGTAATTAGTTAGTCATTGTTATTAGCTCAGTTCTAGAACTTTCTTAGCTACCAAACACTTGTATAAATTCATGCATCTTCTGATGATCAATCAAGCAAGAATTCCGCATTTCATTTCTTCAATTTCTTAGCTATCAACAATATTATTGTCAAATAATCTTGTTCAATGTGAAATTCCAATTAACCAGCTCACATGTTGTCACGAAATGTGTGAATAAAAAGTAGTTTGAGCGATTATAAACAAGTTATAAACATTAGCCAAACATGGACTAAGCAATATGGCAATCGAGGTACTTCCGTAATGCTTACAGAGAAAGATATCCCATGAAAGGAAAAATTATAAGACAACAATTGAGTCAAACGTATTATAAATGCTAATGTACAATATAATCTCCAATGAAAAAAAGGGAAAGATTATCCATGGTTTCACAACTGACGAACAGGCTTTCTCAACCCTCGGTACGATCTAAGTTAAGATGAGTTCTTTTGTTATTGTTACCTAGATTATTGTACATTATCTTAAAGTACAATGTCAAACTATCTGATGAACTTCAATAATCACTAGTATTAATGTAGGTGATGTACTTCTTCGCTTGAACCAGCAAAGCATTGACACATACTTAGAAATCAGCACCTGCAGGTGATTAAACCATGGATTATGGCGATTGAATCCAAAACATAGTGAAGAAAGACAAAATGGACAACAAAAACTATATTCCCTTACTAGATGCACATTAAACGAGTCCAAAGAAATTTTCCAAGGATGTAGTGGTGCAAACGTTGGATGCCGATCCTTCAGGCTTGATAGCAGAGATGTGAAGCTGATATTTGATGAATCTCTGTGAAAATTATAATGGTTTCAAAAGATTATTGATGTAAACAAAGCTTGCAAAATGAAGATATCAAAGAAAGAAAAAAATCACAAAGGCTAAAAGGTATGCTAAGTAATCCCTAACAGGTTTCAGTATCTCAGAATGTAACACTAAATATTCATTAGTGAGTGCAACAAGGATGCTATTGCAAGTCTTAAACATAAGTTTGTATTTATAAATCATGGCATTTGTTTAGTATTTGGATACTCATATTAGTTACTGAAGACTATGATAAATATTATGCACTGGACAGTTTATCACGCGAACAGAGACTTCATGGCTCTCTCTTTCGAATACTCAAGAACTAAGCAGAATAAAGATGCATTTATTAAATAGAAAAGGATAAAAATTATATTCCAAAGAAAGTTGATATTTACCGCTAACTGGGTGACAATTTCAGGATTCGTGTCTATATGCCAATCTGGTTCTAGTTGTCTTACGAAAGATGTCCGCCCATTCTCTGTCCCACAGAAAAGAACCTGCAGGTCAATTAATCAGAAATTCAGGGGATCATCTTCGAGTGAAATTTACCATAATTTCCTGACAGCTGAGCTTAATTTGAACTTAAATTGTGAAAATATAGATTGAAAGATTTCAGATAAAGTAGGTCATGGGAAGTGAAGAAAAATATTATATACACTTCATATGAAAGAATATTCAATTTTGACTAGCCAAAATGAATAATTGAACATAACATATGATCAAAGCAATGTAAATTGTTAGTGTGGCATGCTCTGCTAGAGGCAAGCATACATGACAAAAATAGCAACAAGAATACCGATGGAGTAAAGTAGATATGTTTTATAACAAAATGATGACATCTTATTATTACATTCTTATCAAGAAATTGGTAAACGAACTAATTCTCATTTACAGGAGTAAAAAAATAAAAAATAAAAATAAAGCAGGCATATCAAAAAAGTCAGTCAAGAATTTTGTACAGTAATCACCTTGTCTTTAACTAAGCCACCAGATGTAAAAACTCCAGCATCTTCCAAAGCTACAAGAACTTTCTCCTGCATGAATATATACAACCCACTAGTGATACTGAAACAATTGCCAAAGTACAGCATGATATTAATTGCATCAACCACATATCTGAGTTTCTGGGTTGAAAAAAATAGAAATACGCAAATGATCGTTTATTAGATATATTTAGAAGTTTTTAAAAAAGAAGGAGCCATTTTTGCATGCAAAGTGAGCTTCATCCTGATCCATCCCAAGCTTATGTTGAATGACAAGTTCATTTAAGTGGAGCAAACTTCAGGCATCCAAAATCTTCAATGCAGCACACGAAGTGGAGACTAACTTGATGCCTCAATCTAGGATACTCACTTCAGATTTTCAATTTTTTGCAGAGAGATGAACAGTGATTTTTTTTTTTGCAAAAAGCAATTCTCTAAACAAGTATTTCACACTTACATATATAAGTAATACTCATAAATTGTTTTCTGCTGCATACATATTGATACTTGTTCATTTGTTTTGAGTAGCATTAAAATTCACCATTTATTACTAGTATCTATTCACCTCCCTCTAGACACTAACCTGGACCATAAGTGGATAAAATAAGTATGCAGGAACTTATGATTGGTATTGGGTGGATGATTATTCAAACTTTTAAGAATCTTTGGGAAAGAATGATGGATTTCAAACCAGCTACTGACATACAATACCCAGATTACTGTATTTATGGGACATTTTCATTTTTAAGGTTAAGGCATTAAAGAATAATAGGTGAACTTGCAGATTTAGAGTGTAAAGTGTTGCGAGTATCTTGTTTGGAGGTATAGAAATAGTTTCAAACAGGGGAAAAAACGGAAGAAGAAAACTAGGCATCCCACCAACAGTCTGGAATCATTTTCCCAAGAGAGGTAATGTGAAGAATTATAGAATGGATTGCTACCTATGCCTAGATCGCGGATAAATGGNTGCTACCTGGCTGCAATGCACTATCTTAAGAAGGCATGGCAGAAACATGAAAGGGAGATCGCCAAGGGTGAAGCAGAAGTTGCAGGGAGATAAAGAGTGAACCGCAATTTTTAAAGCAATAAAATCGATTTTGTGGCATAAAACAAAGAATTTTAAGTCACAAAACCAAGCCTATTTAATGCTACTCTCCTTAAAAAAACATCTAAAATTTATTAGTATGTAAGATTCTAAAAAAAAAAATTGTCTATAAAACATACCCATATACCCGTGTCCAAATTTTGTAACATTTTTAGTCATATTTCCGTATCCTAAATTTTAAAAGAAAAAATATCCGACTCCTAGATATGTACCGTACCCGACACCCGTACCCGAGTCCGAGCAACATAGAAAGACTCTACGGAAACTCAATAATCATATGTCCTATTAACTAAAGAAGCTATTAATGGACTTCAAAAGAATTCCTTTTCCTATTAGGATACAGAATCATAGAGAAGCTACAAAACTCATGCAGTTTAGAATCATAGAAAGCTACCAAAACTCAACATGTGCCAATCAAGTCAAATTATGGCATTCCCAAAAAAACTACAAATTTTACAAGATCTCTTGAAGCTAAGTTAGCCCTATTCCTTAAACATATGACATATTATGAAAAAAAATAACTGTTTTTTGTCCTAATCTAAAATTTCAACTGAAGCTATAGCAATTAACCATAAGAATTCCGAACGAGCATGCCAAAAAGATGACAAAATTCCTAAATCTCCCGTGTATATTTTCTTTTTCATGTAGCTTATGTTGTCTACAGAACTTCATGACTCCATAAATACAAGAAAACTGAAATATATGCTGAAACAGGAGAGAGAGAGAGAGAGAGAGATTTATTGGCAAATAATCATTATATGAGAAGAAAAGCAAGCTGAAGCCATATAAAAGACAAAAGACACAATTCATGCAACAAAAAAGAGAACTGACATATTTACTGGCAAAGTTATGTCTAAATGGCATAAAAGTAAAATAAGAGGAAAAAACGCTACAACAGAATAATTGAATACAAAATAGTTGGTGTTTTACTTCACTTTCATCATCCAGCACCCTTTCCATGAGATAAAGATCACAACATTTTGCGATCTCAAGCAGCACCTCTAGCACTGAGGGTCTTACAGTTGCTTGCTTCTGCCATAAAAAATAAAACTAACATCAGACCAAATGATTTCAAAAATGATGATTTTATAAGTCCAAGTGAAACTGGTAAAACCTGCAGCTCCTCTGGGCTGCTTTCCTCAAGGATTACACCTAGCAACTGGCATGTAACCTGTGCCATAGAAGTTGAAAATTTTACTAGACTTAATTCTGATATGGATGATATTCAAAACATTAATGAACTATAAAAAAAAAATTGCATTTATGGTGAGATCTCTAAGTTCAACATATACGTCTCAAAGAGCTTACCTCAGTAAATTCCACAAAATTACTTCAGTATCTATCAATACAATAGAAATTTCATCCAACCAATCTATATTAAAGTTCAGCACCAAATTATGACTAAAGCAAAAAAGACAGAAATTTCCACAGCAGCAGATCATTCTACTGGAACCAGGAGTTTGAATTAAGACTGGAAGATTGTAACTGTCATCCAGAATTTATAGGAAAAAGTATAAGCAATAGACATATATTGTGGCTTCACTAATTTTTAAATACATTCATTCTAAAATAAAACTTCGTAAATAAATGATTGCACTGAGATAAACAGAGAAAGTAAACAAACTTCTAGAGATATTTTTGTTTTTCTTTTTAGTGTTTTCCGGGGCAGGGGTGTTGGAAGGAATCATGCTTCCAAGTTCCAGCACCTCTGTGAATCGACCAGCTTACACAATAGATTCTTAGTTATCATTCTTCACATGATGACAGCTATCTTACATGCACCATGCATTAAGAAGGCACATGTATATGGGTTTATCTTCTGAGGCTATGATCATTTGTACATCCATGTCTTGTTCTGAGATGAAACCGAGGATTACCAATTACCACTCATGAAAGATGGACAAGTATATAAGAAAATTACCTTCCTCCCTTGATTCAACCTTTGTCTGACTATTTTACCAAGAGTTGGCTGTAGATATAAATAAACTTAATCAAAACCTGAACCATTTGAAGCACCAGGAATACTTTAGAGGAGGAAAATACCTTCACAGGCTGAAAGAGCTCATTCACTGCATTCTGAGTGTTCGAAAATTCTGATGAATTGCTAACCCTGGAAAATGTTACATCTGCAGTTGCACGAGTACTAGCACCAGAACTAGTTGCCCCAGCCGAACTTTTATGTTGCCTTCTTTGAGTCCCACTAGGTAGTGTCAATAGTCTCCAAGTAAAAAAAACTGCAAATGCTAAACAAGCTATAGCCACAATAGATCGTGAATCCTGCAAAAAGCTCGAAAATCTAAAAACTTTCTCCTTTGGGAAAGCAACCGTTATATTTCTATAATGCCCACCACACAAAATTAACAACAACCAAACATATCTAGTTAGGTTTACTTGTACATGACCATAGAAGAAAGATAAACTGAAAAAAAACCGGAGACAATACGTCATTTATCTATAAGCCACTAACACACACCATTTTTTTGAAAAAAGCACATCAAACACAAAATATAAGTGCAATTTGAACAGATTCCCAAGCGTATAGAAACCCATTCATAAACAAAATGACAACTTTCGACCATAGATATTAGAAACTTGAGAACTAGTTGTTATTCCGCAAGCCAAACCTTTGAATTACAAGTTAAAACGCCAAATGTTGTTCACTCAACATTAAAGAGAAACCATATGAAAGTTCTTAAAAATTGTGAATAAATAGCATAAAAGATCAACGAATAACATATAAAACAACTTGCATAACAATTTGCCAAAATAAAAATCTCAACAAACAAAAAATGAAATAAAAAAATAATAATAACAGAGAGCGAATAAAACCAGGTCCGGCAAGAGATTGGAAATCTTGACAGTGAGAAAAGCCCCAACTCGCTTGATCAGATTCAGAAACTCTTCCTTGGAATTATCAGCCATGGCCATTCTTGGAATTCTTCAAAATTATAATTTATTTGGACATAGACAACAGTGCTTCTCTAGATGTATATGAATTTATGATTTGCGAAGGAAAATTTTAAGTCCTGAGATTTTCCAACAGCTCACACCAGAGATTTAAGGTCTTCAATAATACAGATACGGCGGTATGAATTGAACGCCCTCTTATCTGAAAGTCGGCCTACCCAAATTTATTTCCGTATCACCATCAAATAATATTGAGAAAAATGCTACTTGAATTAACTCTTACAATCATTGTTGACAATTATGATGAACAATTTTGTTGCTGTCAAAATTTAGACAGCTGATTTTAAAAATAATTTTTGAAATGAATGAATAAGATTTTATCAATGTGAGTTATCGATCAAGATTATAAAAAAAAATATTGTACAAACAGCATGATTGATGCTAGTTTGTATCAATTAGGTTACTATGATACTATCTAGTACATTTTATTATAGGCGTCAAGACGTACGGATCGATTAGACCCGTGAAAATCGGTCTACATTGACCCAGGACTGCAGGTCGACCCTGACCCGAGCAGACGGTTCAGGGGTTAAGGAGATGTGACCTACGGATTTCTCGGGTTGCACCTTCACGGGCAGCGATTAACCCGCTAGTCCGTGAAAAAAAAATTTAAAAAATAATTGAAAAAAATGGGGTGGGGGGGAGCCAATCTAGTTGAGATGTACTTAAATTATAATAAAAATAGGTGCCTACATAATTGGGATGTACTTATGTTATAAATATTTGATAATAGTAATTAGAAATGCATTTAGTTGTTATTTGTTTAAGTTAAATTTAACTTTGTAAAGTTATAAATAATTCATGTAATATTAAATTTGAATTCTATGTAAACATTTTTTTGTATAAATATGAATTTATCATTTTATTCAATTCTTAGTTTGCATTTAATAAAAAAAATATTTTTTGCTATAAATATGAAAAATTCTATATTTTAATAATTTTATTTATACAATAATACGGACCAAATCGGAACAAACCAGCGCGACCCGTGATCGGCATGGGCTCGGCCCGGATTGGTCAACGGGCAGACTTGGGTTGTAGTTCAAAATTTTTTGACCAACCCGAAACCAGCCCGGAACTCGTAGCGGGCGGGCTTTTTTCACGCGAGTCGTTATTGGGCTCATATGTTGACGGGTCGACCCGACTCGGACCACCCGAATTGACACCTCTACTTTTTATTGACACGTCCAACTAATGTGGCAAATGGATATTGATGGAGGAACAATAAAGGGCAATTGTTCACCAATCATGCTACATTTACAAATTGGCAAGACAAACGAATTCTAATTCCTCTTCACTGCTTTGACCAAATTGTGTTATTTACAAACTCTAAATCAACTAATTGCATTTTATTACAACTTTTAAAAAGGATAAAAGATAAGGTCATTCTTTGGTGAGATAATTCGTAAAAATAAATAAATAATTAAACGAGTCAACAAATGAAGATTTTTTAATCTTGTCCCGCCTCCTAAAAATTCTCGACAAGCCAGGGATAGTTATAAGCGTCTCAATCTCACTCCATCCTATTGTTATACCTGAATATCACTCAATCAGTTATCATATATTTTCAAGAAATCGCAACATCACTTAGGCTATGTCTGGGCCGAATTCTTTGCCAGATTTTGAGTGATTTTTCAACCGTTGCAAAGAACTCCAGCCGCAGAAGTTGGCCAAAGATGAGAGGAGTGGGGGCCATTGTTTGAAAAAAAGGGCTATATTCTCACTGAAAATCTGATGAAAAGCAGGGCCAGACAAAACCTAAATAAGTTGATAGAACTCTATATTCCCACTGAAAATCTGATGAAAAGCAGGGCCAGACAAAGCCTTAAAATATAGTGACCATCAATAAGTCTCATTTGTTGAGCCTATTATTTTCTCATAATTAATGACATAAATGGTTAGTAAGTAAGAAAATAGATCTCAAATAATTTCTCCTTTCGTCATGTCTATAACGTCTCATGGAACAAAATACAAAATCTTATTCAGCGATCAAAATGAATTAGTCCATCTCATGAACATTAGAATAGTTATCTTTGCCCTTATCTCATTACATTGGACCGAATCAACTCAAATGGATGACATACTTCATTATCTCTTACTTGGACGTGATGATACTTGACATGAAATTAATAATCATTGATTAGACCTTTTTCAATATCTAATTCACAACAAGTTGGTACTAAGAGATAAATCGTATAATCAACGAGTATACTTGGAGAGCACATCATACCATACACATGTTAGCAAAGTTATCAATATCGTAATTTTGACTTAGGTCGATTAGGGGATCTTGGAGAACGGATGAGTGATCATAAGATTTTACTAAATATGAATAATTAAAATAATCTAATATATTACATTCGAAATTTTTTTATCAACCCTTTAAAATCCAACACATTTACAATTTTCCGTGAGAACTGGATAGTTCCATCATTTAGAAATCATAGAATTATACAGTTCGAGTCATGATTTTAACAATATTGTACGTTAAGAATATATAGTAAGTCTAAAGAGAAATGGCATGGCTAATTATACCCTTGAATTTCTTTTTAACGATAATTCAAGTGTTTCTGATTCTCGAATAACTCAAAAATATATTGAACTTCGCACAATATCTTTTATTCATAATTGTGTCGTGAACCCGCAAATCGTTAACATAATTCTTCTACGAATATCTGAAAAATGTTGTGCAGGTATGTAGAATTTATCAATACCTAACAAACTTAAAAAACAAAAAGAAATTAATATCTTGTCATATTTGTCCAACTCTCCATGGCTCCATATCCTAATCTTTGAGTTAACATATTATTATTGTTATTATCTCATATTAATATTGTCATATGTTATGTAGCGTGAGAACATGAAATTCACAAACAATTCATCCATGAATGTTAGAAAATTAGGCATCAAACACTCGTTAATTCATAAATGAATACAGAATATTTGAACACATGACAGAAACTAATCAATTTTTCATTTCATTAAATTCCACCTTTATAAAGACATGGTGGTCTTATTCATACAAAGAAATAAAATCCTTATTTTATAAGGAAATCTTAAAGTACCATATTAAACCCTTGAATAAAAAACTATAGTAAAGAAAACTTAATCAAAGGAAAAAATGTAAAATTACCATGAAATAATAAAATAGTTTTCCATTAAGTGACGACTAACGAACAGAGTATTTCACTTTTAAAGACATCAAATATATGTGGTTGAGCAAAAAATACCTTTACATGTTCATCGACTTCTTTTTACTTTTGATAGAAAAAGATGACAAGCCTGCATATATACTTAGCTGGTTTATACCCTTCTTTCCTTGTAACCCCATGAAAGGAATCTCAAGAAAGCAAAAATAAATAAATAAAGACACAGAAAGCAAACAGTTACCTTCATTGACAAGAAAACTTTCCCAGCGTCACCCTAATCTTATCTCTTGCAAAAATTGTGTATTTAATGCTGCATTTCATGTACATAAGCACATTGTTATCCTCTGCACATTCCTTTACTCACTTCACATTCTAATTCCTCCCAGACGGTAGAGCTTAAAAAATGATGAAAGCGATAGCCATTTTTGCTTGTCTGTTAATTGTAGCTTTGGATGTAACAGCTGGAATTCTTGGGATCAAAGCTGAAGCGGCTCAAAACCAGGTTGATTTAAAAATCTTCGTCTTAAATAATGTTCGATATTTCATATGGAAATAGAACATGGGATTTATGTATACTTTCTGCGTTTTTCACTACAGGAAAAGCATGTGAGACTCTGGATGTTTGAGTGCAAAGAGCCAAGCCATAACGCGTTTGTCCTAGGCGTAGCTGCTGCTACTCTTCTATGTATAGCTCATGTTCTTACAAATTTGCTTGGAGGGTGCAATATCTGTACTCGAGAGGAGATTTCAACAGCACCTCCTAGTAAGCAATTATCAATGGCATGCCTCGTTTTTACATGGTATGGACTTAAAAGTTAACACATGCAATGGTAGTTCAATTCTGCTTATAAGCTACATTGACACATGCAATAGTAGTACAATTCTGCTTATAAGCTACATAGACACAAGCAATAGTAGTGGATCAGACTATAGTGAATATATATTTATCAAAACTGAGAGAAGAAAAAAAAACTCAGCTTGCCCGACAAGGTCCTTTGTGAGTCGTGCTGAGCCTAGACCAACAGGCAAAAACTTGTACCATCTAAACCTCAAAACATTCACGACTCACTTTACATGTCTAAGTTACTGGCTTCGGGCCATACATCACTGATTCACTGTTGTATTCCTTGCATCTACAGGCTCGGAAAATCTCGAACATTGTTTAAGTTAGTGACCATATATCCATTACGCCCCTGTTTGATGGTCATTATTTTGGGAAAATGGAGTTTTGAATGGTGATTTTTTTGGAAAATGTGGTTAAAAAGTTGAGAAAAGTTTTGGGTTTACATGCAAAATATTTTTTTTATGTAAATGTATAGTTAAAAATGAGTACAAGAATGAAAGAGTTTTGAAATAATGGTTGTCAAACGGGGTATATATATATATATATATATGAGCTAATAATATATGGATGCCCAGGATCATACTGGCTGTTGGCTTGGGGATGCTGGTGATTGGAACGATATCAAACAACAAATCAAAAGCTTCCTGCGGTTTCACACACCATCATTTCTTATCAATTGGAGGGATTTTGTGCTTTGTTCATGCCATATTTTCTGTTGCTTTTTATGTAACCTCAAATGCCGTGCCTGGCGTATAGGCAAAAAAGAATCCATGGATGTCACTCTCTGCAGCTCAGCCTTCTTTCCCAAATTCACTTTGTCTAATTTGCACACTAAACTGACTTGATTTTCAACTAGTAACCACATAATCATCTTATAAATTGTTTTTTGTAGGTTCATTTGTCATCCAATTGTACTGCATTGCATTGTGTTCGTAAAAAGTTGAACAAACAATAATAAATAGGGTTTCCATTCATCATATAATTGTGAAAAGTTCAAGCACATAATAGATGAAGAATTTGCATCATATGCACATTTACGAGAATTTGCTAACCAGTAGGAGGCAGCCACGAATATTCCTAACAAAACGCTATCTTGTTGCACGGCTGTGTAAGATTAAACCACCTGTTTCTCATCATTTTTCTGAACTCTTCTATCATCTAAAAAGATGACTCTTATCTGCCTGCCTGGAAAGAGAGAAGAAACGTATTTGATAATTTGATCCTGAATAACAGAAAAAGAAGATATCCCAAAAGGGAAAAACATAACTTTGATTTATTCATCAAGGATCAAGTAGCCGATCTAAGAGATAGATGTTATATTTCAATAGGCTAGGATTGCTGCTTTATAAAATTTGAGTCCCTCGACCAGATAAGAAAAGAAGCTTTTGGGAAAACGATGTTGGCCCTCGAACATATTCTATCTGGTAGACTTGGTAAAAAGGCCCCAACTTATTTCTAGAATTAGAGTTCAGATACGTCAAGAATTTAGTAAAATTCTCTTTGCGGGTCTCCTTCGTTCTTGTGGAGGCACCAAAAGGTCTTGTGGACACTGGTGGGATAACTTTAACATAAAAATATCTTAATGATGACACATTTTGATGATATGAAATCATGAATGGAATATTATTTTTGGTACTTCAACTCATAGAAAGGATGTTCAAAATTTGCAAACTAAAATAAACGTTATGAAAATCGAACAGGACAGGCCGATTCAATGGGAACCAATGCAAATTCCCGTACGAGTACTACCTGAAACCTTAAAAATGAAAACCGGGAAAAAAAAGTCAAATGGCGTGTCCAACCATAAACCAGTAGACCCAGTACCAGTTTAAACAAGTTACCATCCATTTAAAAAAAAAAAAAAAGATTAATGACTTGTGGCTTAAGACCATGAAAGGCAGAGAAAGCCACAGCCCATATCCTTCTTGGGCAAACCATTTTATACATTACGGAAGTCAATGTGGGATCGTAAGAGATCACCTTCTTCTTTATATAATGTTTTATGGTTTAGGATTGGTAGCTGCTTGGAGTTTAAACTTTAGAGCAGTATTTTAATGAGTGTTTTTGTATTTAGATATTAATAAATTTGGCAAATGAAAGTGTTTTTGTCAATTTTTTTTTGGCATATAAATTTATTTATTTATTCTTTTTGGGCAACCGGTTCAACTCAGGATCAATCTTTTGACCCTTGGCCCTTTGCTTTTTCCGAGTCGATGCCTGGTTTGGTTTTCAAAAAATTGACTTTAGCATGTTGTTAACTGAACTCACAAGACAACATAGCAAGAGAGATGCACAAAACCCAAAGTACAAACAGCAGACAATCACCAAAATTTTTATAAGGCAGGAAAACATTTAAATTCAAAGAAATCACACCTACGACAACATGAGATGGACTAAGATTCAAGAGTTCACAGTGTGTGGAATTCAGTAAATATTTTATCCCATTCTTTATACAACATGCTATATGTGACAGATCCAACGTATGACAATATTAAATGTTAAAAAGATGAATCTTCAAAATCAAAATAAAGCCAGAATGTGTATATTCAATAAATACTTTCAACATACAAGAGAAAAAGGAGTAAGTCACCTTCAGCAAATTTGTGCAAAATCACAATACAGAAAAATATGCCAAATAAGGAGAAGGAATTAATTTTAAAATAATATATCCACCCAAGCCAATTGCACATACAAATTTCCTACAGAGATTGATAGGTGACATAATACGCTTAAATTCCAAGCTCAAACAAATACTTACCTTACTATTGATCTTTATATTCCAAGAATCATTTTTTGGCTGATAGAGTGGATCACTAACGACATAAGGATGCGGTCGGACATAATTCTTTAACAGGGGTACTCTATCTGGTATATAATCATCATCACTTTCATAGTATGTCTCGGAATGAGGCCCAAGAGCTTTGAGAATCATTGCCAATAACATACTTAATCCCTGCATGTAAAATCAATTATTGCCAAGGAACAGACCAAGACAAAAAATATAAATGCATGTCATGAATAGAAGAGAGTTGATGTATTGGATCTCCTTATCTAGTTAATTAATAATATAAGATTCTAACATGATGAAATCAAAATTCATCACTGCAAAGACTTCAACCATGATCTTCTCACTTTACACAACCTTATATATGATAAAGATGATTGTAACAGCTACAAATGCATAACTCCATTCTCAGTTCCCAATTCATATCAATTTTTTAGAAAAATTATATAGATCAAAAGGGATCACCTTAGCCCATTGATTAACCCATAGTAGAGACCTCCAAAATGATCGGAGTTGAAATCCTAACACGAAAATTTCTCTCCAACAAAAATTAATTACCTTGAGGAAACTATAGGCGAGAAACAATTAGACCAGAAAATAAAAAAGGGATATGGAAAGATATGCTGATACTGTGGAAGTACCTAACCAGTTAGTCCCTCGTGACAGGAAAGGGAAGGAGGATGTGCCTATTGAATGAATGTGCATCTGTGTGTGTGTGTGTGTGTGAGAGAGAGAGAGAGAGAGAGAGAGAGAGAGAGAGAGAGAGAGACCTGTATACCCACAACTGTCAAGCCAATCCATCTGCATGTGTCAAAGTTATCCTTAATAAAGTCCTTTAACTCGTCCAAATTTCCAGTTGGGTCATCCGGGAAGTCCTAACATACACGCAGTAAATTAGAGAAAGAACCAAATGTATTTAGAAACATCTAGAAGATATTTTGTAAGTTAAAAATGGTGCAAATTAGTCTCATATACCTCTTCCCAGTTTCTGTTTAGGAATACATCTGCAGTAACTGCTGCTTCCAGCACTAGCAGCAAAAAGATGAAAACCATGTACTACCCCAGCTAAGGAGAAACTTGATATCATTAACCATATTCCGTGCTTATAAATATGCAAAACTCTTCATGTACACATTATTTCAGAAAAACAACCTTTTATTAATCTAATTGGTCAAATTGAATGCTGAAAAATGTTTAATAATTTTAAGCTGTAAAAGACGATTCAGGCCACCCATATTTACGGAAGATAACCAATTTAAGATATTATGTATTATGTGACACTCAAAAAACTACTGAATTAAAGCTCCAACGTGAAAAGAAAAGAGATGAGATACTTCACAAAAGGCAGAAAGGTCAAATGCACGGAATAATTACAATATATTGTACCAAGATTTCTGGTTTATTTTAGTTCACTTGAAGAAAAATGATGTAGTAGAAGATAAATGAAAAGATAAAGTGCTCATCACAGTTTAATTACGAAGAAAAAATCAATTAAGATGAACTTTTTCTGAAAACTGAAAACTCAAGTTGCAGAACCAAAGAAGAAATAATGGCACCAGCTACTTTAGAAGAAAGAATTTTACTGTGAGAAGAAACACTTCAAATCAAGAAAGTCAGTAAGATGGGGGGAAAGGGAATGGAGAGAGTGGATTCCAAAAAGCATTACTGCAGTAACTCGAGGAAATTCCATTCCAAGAATTCAAAGAGAGCTTTTTGCCGATGTTTATCAACATGACAAGCATGCGCTCAAAAGGATCTCCTACCAGATATTGGCCCAAGCTATTTCATAAGTAATTTGTTGTATTGATTACCAATAAACTAAAAGTACATACCATATTCATGATGAGCAATTATTATACCTCAAGATAATTTACTACAAAGGAGATAGATTTTACCGTGAAGCACAACGGTATAATTTTTTTGAATCTATTAAAACCAAGTAGTTTATAGAATAGATCAAATCAATTAGAACCATGTGGTTCCTAGTGTTTTGGCACAACATACACTATGTTAGCAACTACAGGTATTAGTGGCAGTGATGTAGAATGCAAGTGTCAAGCAATCAAACATTTGTATAAGAGAGAAGAGAGGGGAGAAAGAGAGTAGAAGGGGGGAAGAGAAGAGAGGAAGGTGTGTGTGTGTGTGGGGGGGGGGGGGGTGGGGATTGCTTATAAACAACCCACGAGGCAGGTGTTTCACCAGCCATGTAGAATACAATTAGATCGTCACAAAAAATTAAATAAGAACGAACCCTTTTAATTGGACTAAGGTTTGATTTTCACAGCACGATATGAACTAGTTAAGAACATCTTATACTCCTCTCAGTCAACTCAGATCATTGTAAATTTCTAATAATTACTTTAACAAATTTATATTTCAATAAACTGTGTTAATTACATGCAGCAGTTTGCGAGCTATTCTGATTTCAGAGAGAAATTTCAGACTAGTGATTGATGACAAAAGCAAAAACAAGAAAAGGAAAGAAATACTCGCAGAATTGTTAGCAGTGAAAGTTGATCAAAAAATGTGAAGAAAAGTAGGAAAATTTTGATCAATATTGTACTGGAAGTAGACTATCAGAGCAAGCAATGCGTTTGTTTGGGAGAGATTTCTCCACGTGAATTTTTTTTTTTNGATGAAGTTGAAGTTGAAGTTGAAGTTGATAGCTCTACTACGGAGCCTGTTTCGCTTTCAAAGCCCGATGACATTGAATAATTTTTTGTAGCAGTACGAGAAAATCACAAATAAGCTTCTAATCCTAAACAAATAAAAGAGGCACTTTTAAAATCACTGTTCCCAATTTCGTCCTCTTAAAACGACGCCGTTTTGGACTCTTAAAACGACGCCGTTTTGGACTCTTAAAACGTTACCCCACCGCTTGACTTCCCGAAGCTTCGAGCGTTTTCCGCATTTCTTCCCTTTTCATTCATTCATTTGCTTTTCACTCTCCACAACCAAAAAACCCTAGCTCCCTCCGTAGTCGACCAAAAAACCCTGGCTGCATCCCCGGATTTGTCACCTCCGCTACTCCCTCCGACCGAAGTGAATCTCCCGTCTGTAAGTGCTGTAAGTGCTTTAATTTCATGAGAGCCGTTTTCCTCTTTTGTAGTTTTCCATCTCTGAATTTTTTTCTTGTTTTTCTGTTATTTTCTTACGATTTAAGTAGTCTGTGTTGTTGTTCGTTGTGTCTGTAGATCCAAATCAACCTGGGTTCGTCGTCGCTGCCGTTGATTTAAGGTATGTCGTTTCAGCTGAGGGTATGTTCTTCAGATTTTTTTTTTGTTCTTTTGTGATTTTGTTGCGATTTAACTACCCCCGATACTCAGCTTCTTGTACGCAGAGGACGAACAAAAAAAAAAAAAATCGTAGAACCCTTCACGAACGAACAGCTGCTTGGTATAATTCGTGAGGTTGTTCTTCGTCATCTGGATGTGCTAGAGGCCGTTAAAGCCGTAGCTGATGCTCGATGCTGTCCAGCGCAAGTTCTTTCTACCCTGCTTCCCTTTTCTTTTTCCTCGATAACGGTTTTTGTGTTTCTGATTGCAAGTCCTCCTCCTTTCTTGGATCCTCTCTTTAGATTTTATTTATGTTTTTGTGGCTACTTTTGGTAGGTTACACAAGACAGTCATATATATATAATATTTTCTTTGATCTTTTAGTTTGTCTTAGAATTTAATTGTAATAGAGTAAGAAAACATAGTGTTTCTTTGCTGGGTTTGCTATGGCTGATGCGTTGTCTGTGATTCCAATGGCGGTTCTCCGTACCTCTCCGATAAGATGTATGAAAAGCACAAAAATGCGGCTCTCAAGGTCTTGATTATACATATATGTATTTGTTTGTAATTTTTTTTAATGGTTTTGTGGAGTAATTTTCTGATTTTTGTGTAATTATTCAGTTTTTTGGGTTGGTGGGTTCTAGGTGGAAGGGATAGTGAAGCAATTAGCAGTGGCAGGAGATTACGATAAAATTACTGCGGTGATCAATTTGTTGACCAACGAGTTTACCTACTCGGATGAGGCAAATCATCGCAAAGTAAGTTTTCATTTTAGTTCGATTTACTTAATTGACATTGAAAACGAGGTTTTATTCAATAAACATTTTAGTTGAAAATTCTGAATTTTCCCTTCCTTTTCATCTACACATTTCCATTTCATTCCCCAACCTTCAATTTTCCTGCTCAAAATCTCTCTCCTCTATCTTGAATTTTTATAAGGGTGATCAATTCCATTCCTTTATTTCATAGTCCAAAATTTCATGACCTTGTTCACGCTGATTCCTGAACCTTCTTCACACTGATTTCCGATCCTCTGCAACAAATTCAAATCGTCGCCTCAAATCTTAACAAATATAAGATACCATAATTATTAAGCCCATCTAGGGACCAACCCACTTTAATCCTGTTTTGCCAACTAATTTTGGGCACCCACTTTATTCCAGGTACCTGCTATTCTTTATTCGTCTTTCTACAAAACCCCTTTTTTTTAGTCTTGCTTATTGTACCTGTTTTGGGAATTTTGATAAGATTCACCACACCTTGCTCCGGTGTGTCATCTGTATTGAGATTGCACCATGGGAGTTTTGCTGTCTTCGAAAGATTTGAAACCAAATTCCTCCTGACTTTTTCCAAATAAATAATAAGGTATGAATTTTTATTGTGTTTTCGTTTTAAGTTAATCTTTTATACTGTCTTGCTATGCTTTTGTTAAATTGAATACACCTTACTCAATTTCTGATATTAGTCTATGTTATCATCATTCTGCTGATATTTTTATCAGAGGTTTCAATCTTTTTTTGTTATACAGTAGTAGCTGGGTATGTGATGGTTTTATTGAAACTTATCCGATTATAGATATCCAAATTATTCTCTATTAGGAAACAAACGTTCGGCGTATGTTAATTCCTATGACTGCTTTCATGATTTTACTAAAAAAAATGTGAACTTTAAATGTTCGGATAGAATTTAGTTGGGTTTTGATAATCATTTTCCTTTAAATTCTAATATGATTTTGTTGGAAATGCTGTGGTTTTAAATTTTCTTTTTTATCAAGAACCAGAGCTGGATACTCGAGGGCTGACCAATTCTATGCATCTTATCCAGCTAGGACAGAGCTTCTCATCGACATTGAAGCGGTTAGTCGACGTTGAGCCCTGCTACTTGGCCCGGGATTAAATCCCGGGTCAAACCAGGGGCGCCCCCCTGCTACTTGGCCCGGGATTTAGTCTATTCCGTCGAAGTTTAACATAATTCGTATTTTTCACATGGGTTACATCAGCTAATCAATTTTGTTTGAAATAACCCTTTGTGTAGAACTCCAACGCTTGAACTAATTTGTTGATTTTACCAAATATTAGAATGGAATGTCTACTAGCTATCGAATGTCCAGAATTGTGAATTGTGATACATATGTCAATTCTGTTATTTCAAGTGATTGAATGTTGCTATTTCTATCAAAATTTGCACTAGAGCATATTGCATTATCAAAGAACCAAATAGCAACTTTGAAATCTGTTAGGTTTGCATCTAATCATCTTGTTCTTTTCTTCACTTGGTAAGTAATTAATGTTAGTGTTGGAGAACCTAAACTTTTGAATCTAGCACTCACCTAATGGTGGAGGTGGTGGAAAATTAACATCAACCATTGGAGATGCTTGGTCACAGGAGAAATCTACTTGACATGAACCAAAAATAAGTTCATCTTTTCTATCTTTCAAGGCACTAAAACCATTTTCTACAGTAGTCTCTACTCACTAGATACAACATTAATCAGTGATACTGGACCTTATCCCTGCATTAAGACTTTGTGTTGTAGGGAAATTGCAAGCAACTTTTTCCTTTATATTATAGAAATTATTGGTTTTTGGTTCATTCTGAGATGAGTGCCAATGTATTCTCCTCAGTATCTACAGTCAGCTCGCTTTGTTTTTAGTTAATCAGCTCATAAACCCCGCGGAAGAGCATGTGAGACCCCAAGTCGTGACTCATTTTACTGCTTCAAAACTTACGAAACTTATGATGGTAAAGATTTTTTTCCCTCGATTCTACGTGAATAAC